TAATTATTAAACTAATTAAAAACAATGCTTAAGGTATATACACATACTTAGGAAAGATAAGAACAGCGACGAGATGATTGCCTTCACATGAGCCCCTGAGGAGGGGAGGAGACGCAAGAGCAGGCCGAAAACAACATGGTGTTGGACAGTTATAAAGGAAAGGGAGCAGTTAGGATTTGGAACATGGGAGGAAGCGAGGGCAGTGGCAGCGAACCTGGAGAAGTGGAGAAGGTCGATAAAGGCCTCATGCACCAGGTGCGAAGCAGCGCGGTAGCGGTAAGGTTTATAGCGTTTTGAATCGTTAACCATACCTCGCTTGTACATCCTTTTTTCCAATGCATCAAACAAGTCTCTTTCAATGTCCTCGATATCACGTGACTCGCGTGGTTTGGCTAGCACCATCGCAAGGCTTACAATAATCAACAGCAAGACAATCTTGTCCATGGCAGCAGTAGCACTGGGGAAAAGTATAAATGATAAGCATTTATTGAAGGTAAAGTTTGAGGCGAAATCGTAAGCTTATTTGTTTTCAAAGGACTCTAAGAATAATTTTGATATATATTAACCCAGAACAAAGTATATTTGTTCGGAAAATACATTGTGGTTATAACTCCTGAGTATATAGATCCAGGGTGGGTTYAACTGAGTTTAGGCAACTAGCGAGCTGATGCCATTCCTTCTCTCTTTGCTACGTATAGAGTTGCGTATATGCAAGAATTAAAGATCTGGCTAAGTCTTATAATTATCTAAAATCAATTTTATAGCGTAAACAATGCATGTCGTCTTTTGTACGATATACAAGCCCTTTTTTTTGTCTCGCGAACATCGAAAATTCTCCACGAGCACAATCACACAGCAAATCTTCCGCGTTTTACAAGTTGTTCTTGCTTTGATGACGTCACTTCCCCTCTACCCAATCCCTCACGGACAAACCAATACATACTTCATTAATTCAKAGTTCCCGAAAATGATGGACCAAAAAATAATACTTATTGAAGGAACTTTTAAAAATAGTTTGGCACACAGTAACTATTGGAAGTGTAAAGATTAAATTYAGCAAGTTTCAGCCTTAACCAAAAATTATCAATTTTTTGTCACAGTTCCGCTTTAAGTATTGGTCTAAGTAATATAAACCGATGTAACTGTTGAACKTTTACAACCATCGATGTGTTGCCTTCTACTTATGAAACTTTGATTGATGAGAAACTGATTTTAACAAAAGATACTTACGAATGAAATATTCTTAGTTTTCTTATCGTTACTTACGAGGCAACACCTCTACAACTTTCTTAGTTAATATTAGATAGTTTTGACGTTTTGGACATAATTCAATTATACAACTACTCCCTATAAAAAGAAATGCACAATGTAAAGAATGGAGATGATAAAGGGATCCTTCGGAGTTTGTAACATATGTGGAGTTCCCAATTAACCGGTTTACACCGAACACCTGACTTRCTCTACTGCTAGTCCACTAGTATGTGCAAGATATGATGAATAGTACCTACCTTGAGTAACTTATTTCTTAAGGCTTTTGATGTACTAAGGTGGAAGTGCAGTCCAACTGATCAATTGAAGCGAGAACACTTGCTTTTGTAGTCCTGATTGGCCTTCCTCTGATTGGCTGAATAGGATCATAATATAAAGTGCTGATGGTGCTTGAGTAGAATGCGCCAGACCATGTCCAAGAACAGACAATAAAACCGCGTTAATAATGTGTTACTTAATTATATCTTCCGCCAAAATTATTTCTTGTAAATTATGCTTTAGCAATGAGTTCATTCAGTTGCTTGAAACATTGTGACACANAACTACTCCCTATAAAAAGAAATGCACAATGTAAAGAATGGAGATGATAAAGGGATCCTTCGGAGTTTGTAACATATGTGGAGTTCCCAATTAACCGGTTTACACCGAACACCTGACTTGCTCTACTGCTAGTCCACTAGTATGTGCAAGATATGATGAATAGTACCTACCTTGAGTAACTTATTTCTTAAGGCTTTTGATGTACTAAGGTGGAAGTGCAGTCCAACTGATCAATTGAAGCGAGAACACTTGCTTTTGTAGTCCTGATTGGCCTTCCTCTGATTGGCTGAATAGGATCATAATATAAAGTGCTGATGGTGCTTGAGTAGAATGCGCCAGACCATGTCCAAGAACAGACAATAAAACCGCGTTAATAATGTGTTACTTAATTATATCTTCCGCCAAAATTATTTCTTGTAAATTATGCTTTAGCAATGAGTTCATTCAGTTGCTTGAAACATTGTGACACAGCGTTTGTAAACGGTCACCGGATTATGCTGAATGGGAACTTGTCACTAGGAGTGTTGCTGAACACCAACTACCTTTTATAGAATCTGCTTACTTGATGGTCGAATAACATATGCAATATTCAATATATTCTTCATATGACTTGAAATAGATACTACGTCTGTATAAGTGATTCATTAAATTTCTAGAATTCATTTCATTTGGATGAATCTATATCAGAATTCAACACTCCATTTTCAAATTCAAAGCAAATAACTGCTGTTTAAACAAAGCGCGCGCACTAGAAAATATCGAACATGTTATAATGATAATAGCCCTTCCAATGGTCCTAACCCTGTATTTCCAGTGCCGATGCTTAATCTTTAGGAGTTCTGGGACTAGGAGTTCGGGGAATACARGTTTATTAGTCTCAACTAGACCTAAGACATCGACATTACGACGAATAGTTGGACGCGCTAATYATAATYTAAGCACATTGTATTGACCGYCACATTTCTAATGTATTCGCATGTAATGTAAATTCTGATTTYTTCACTATACTTGAAAACTGATTGAAGAAGTCAAAACGTCGACGCCTCTGTTTATCAAAACTACAGCATAAAAATTGAAATATCTCTTCGAATCTACGCCAMGTACAGTAGCTCAAGTAAATACCTGCTCGGCCCACATCAGAATTTTAGCKCACGACGGAAAATGCGCGCTGTTCATTATAACTTCTTAATGAAGCAGAAACCACTTCAAATCTGTATTTTTCTAGAAGCAAGCTATAGTGTCACACGACTCTTAGCTTTACATGTGTTTCCCACAAAATTTATAATTATGCAAAATGGACAACACTATGTCTGAGTCATCGATGGGCCGATCCACACATGAAAGGAGACGAGAGAGTGACGTGACCACTTTTTCATGTYTTTATTACATCTATAACGTAGATTGACTATAAGATCAGGTCCAAGTCACAAGTGTTGCAACACAGTCCGCCATTTAAAGCAAGTCTTGCAGGTAAACTGGCTCAGCAAGACTTCAAAGAATGCTATCCTGAGAAGGCCAATACACAAGGTGTACGTGTGCTTGAGCAAAATGATTGAACACTTCAAGTTGAGCACTGTATAACATTAAATTTATATGTACTTTGGACATACTTTTGGTATAGTGAAGACAGCTGTTCATGGTGTCTGAGGGGTGTGAGTGACTCAACGACCAACAATATTGAGTAAATAACTAGTACTATATTCCTGAATATTCTAAAGGGGATTATAGTTAATAATTAACGATCCTGGAAAAATAGTCGATTTGAGGATCTTTTTTTTCGAGACAAACAACAATTGAGCTCTTGGATGGTTCCCACAAATCTGCGCGGCGCGCGCATTAAATCGAGGTCGGGRTCAGAGAAAAAAAGAGCAAATCTGTTGAAATCTATTTTTACACAGTTTAACGTGAATTTACCTCTCATTCTGTATTGATTATAGAAAAGGCGAAATGCTGTTGCAACGAAAATTGTTCTTTGCAAGGAGCAAGAAATYCATCTGTTCATCGCATATAATTGCACAAAAAATCTACATTACGAGCGGGAAAAGTATCACGAGATCTATCAATCTATCTATTAAAGGCAAAAAAACTACCCAATTCGGCGGAACGTCCCGTATAGTAAATGTTATGGAGTTATTTTGTTATTCAAATTCTTATGTATGTGTTTCATTCGACCGTGAGCTACAAACAAAGGCTTTGACGACAGAGAGATAACTCTAAACACTTCACAAAAAAACTCTAAGCAATAATGAGAACAGCAGTACAACAACAGGACAAGTGAATGATCTGCGACACTAACACAACGTCAAACTTCCTCCAAAGTATAAAATGATATATTGCAAACAATTATGCATTGATATACAGGTTTTAATTTGAAACTTTTTTAACGAACTTATCGATACTTTAGCGAGTATACAATGCCACCTAACAAATAATGTCTAAACAATTGAAAACCTAATCAAATACTACTACAATATACTACTATTTATTGTYTTCTGTACTAGTGTCCTCGTCCTGGGCTGGAACTACTACCAAAGCCTCATCATTGGGCGGGGGCTTTTCGTCATTCGAATGGTTATCTTTCTCTGAGGAGGCGTCATCTGTTGAGGCATTTTTATCAATATCAGCATCGGAATGCGATGGTTTATCATCAGAGGTATCATTATTCAAACTAGCAGGACTCATAGCCTCATCAGCAGTGTGTGGATTGTTTTCATTATCAGGGGCTTTGGGTTTTGAAGACTCATCATTGCCAAGCGTTTCTTCTGGTTCTACACTCACTTCACTTGCTGAGCATTTCTTTTCTTTGGGCTCATCATTAGACGGTGCTGTTTTACMTTGGTCGTCGTTATTGTTATCACTATTATGGTCCTTTTCTTCAGAAGGCTGCTCGCTGGACACAGCCATGTCACTGTCAACTCTAAGAGTGTCATCTACAGTGGGACCAATATCCGGTGGGACCTCTGTTGTGGATCCTTTATCAGTAGTGACGTCATTAGTAGGAGTTTCTACATTGATTTCAGTTGGTTGATCGTTTGGTGGATTTCTTTCGTTTTCCAATATCTGCAGAGATTTGTTTGTGTCTTCTGCGTCTTCTGACTTGCCGTCTTCCGATTCTTCTTTCTGCTCAYCAGCATCTCTCTCGTTTTCTGGATTATGCGGATCCTTCTTATCATCATCATCTTCAATGTTTTGCTCATTTCCTTGTTTGGACAAATCTGCAGCTGGTTTGCAATACACCTCAGGTTCTTTARCGCTTTCATTTYGGYTCTTGTCTTTTTTGCTCCTTTTTTTCTCCCTTTCCAGTGCTTCTTTCTCACTTTTCTTCCTCTGTTTTTCAAGTTTTTCCTTCGCTTTCTTATCCTTTATTTCCTGCTTTTCTCTCTTCTTTTTTTCTTTTTCCATTTGCTTTATTTCCTTTTCTTTTGCTTTCTTTTGTTGATCTCTCAGTTTTTTYTCAAGTTTTTCCGGTAAAACGTATCGTTGTTGCTGCTCATGCGGTTCTTCCTGGGATGAATGTTTGGGACTTGAGGCGGGCGCATATGCTCCGTCGGTCTCTTCCTGGTCTCCGTCTCGACTTTCTTCTTTCTCTTCATTTTCTGATCTTCCACTATCTTTGTCTTCGTTTTGAATGTCTAAATCGTCGGGGCTGTCAGTTTCTAGGCTTTTTCCACTGACGGACGCCTCATCAGTCTGCACGTCTTTCTTTATGCTCTCACTTGCAGCTTGTTCTAAAGAAATGATTTCAGTTGCATCGATCGAAGTCTCTTGCTGTTTCTCTTTCTTTATGCTCTCTTCATCTTCCTTTCGTTCGCTTGCAGCTTGTTCTAAAGAAACGATTTCAGTTGCATCGATCGAAGTCTCTTGCTGTTTCTCTTCGTCTTYTTTTTCATCGCCGTCGACTTTATCATCCTGATCAGYCATCTCTGAACTGATTGTTGGTTTGGTACCGTCATCTGGTTTCTCATAAGCTTTGCTGAGGTTCTCCTCTTCGGCCTCCTTCTTCTTCTCCTCCTCCTCTTCCTTCTGATTGTCATCCTCTTCCTTCTGATTGTGATCCTCTTCCTTCTGATTGTCATCCTCTTCCTTCTGATTGTCATCCTCTTTCTCTCCTTCCTTTCCTTCCTTTCCTAGTGCAGCTAATTCCGAAATGTTTTCTTCTTTTTTCTCATCAGATTGGTTGCTTTCCATCGATTTGTCAACTGGTGCTTGCTGATGAACATCAACTTCAACTTCATTTTCAACGTCAACAGTTCCATTTTTTTGAACATTAGTGTCTGTTTGTTGCTTGTCTTCAGCCTCCGTGACAGCGAATGTTGACAATGCTTTTCCTTCAGTCTCCGTGACAACGAACGTTGACAATGCTTTGTCTTCAGTCTCCGTGATAGCGAACGTTGAAAATGTTTTTCCTTCTTGTTCTTCTTCGTTAGCAGTTGCCGCCTCCAAGTCTCCTATTGTTTTCATCTGTACAAGATCTGGCTCACCTCGTTCTCTGTCTGCAATAAGACAGTCATCATTTGAGCTACTAACGAGACTAAGAACTACGCAAAAAGACTACGGCCACTTGCACTTGCATATGCGCTAGAGTTAGATATCAAATTCTCTTGCATATGTACTCTAAGAGATAAACAGATGACTTAAAAATGTGGTGAGAACAAAAAGTACCAGAAAAAAGAGCCAGCGCCAAAGCGTTTATGCCTTTCATAAAAACACATGTTTAGGCTTTAGGATCCCATAAAGCATGCCTTCCGTTCAGATCTATACCATAAGTTTGTGTAGTGGTATATGTCTTTAATATTGCATTAACAGAGAAATAGGAAACTGTTTTATTGCTCATTTGCTTTTTTGCTAACAAAATAAAGTGCTTATAACGAAAAAAGATAATGTTGCAATGATAATTACAGGTAAGGAAGAATGGTAGGGTCTAAAATGATAGGTATAAAAAAGGTATTAAAAGTTGCTAGGGTTGCCTCCTTCGCAGACAGGTGCATGCGTATAAACACTGAAGATCGATATTTGTGCTTTGTGAGGTTTTCCTCTAGATATCTTTTCTCTAATTGTCGGCAGTAAATCGGCAATCAATCATGCGACATTCACGTCAGAATAAAAAGCAACAAATAATAACAAGGATGATCAGAGTAATGGTTCTGAAAACATGACAAATTATCAGATTTAAAATATCATTTCATAGATGATAAATATTAGTGTGTTCTGTAAATTGTTTGATCAAGATACTCCTGCACACTTATAAATAAGTTCTTTACCTTCGTCGTGTCCTTCGCAAACTGCCATATGTCCTTTCCTCCTGATGATTATACGATGCAAAAAAWYWATTAAATGTGCATTTTTRARCACTCCYTTATTTYATGTTGTTATAAATAGCTGTACAAAWAGATCAGAGGTGACTTTTATCAAATCTTTTTGATTATTTCCATATGCAACGCTTGAATGTATGCTTTGAAGTAACTTTGAGACAGGTCAGATTAGATGATTTTACTCACAATTAGTCACCATTCCATACTCAGGTTCAGCTAGTGACCACGAGCAAATCATCAAATTCAGGCGTCGAGGAACGTTCCGTATGAGAAAAGATTTATACTTAGTGTTTATGACGCCTCGGCTCAATACTTAGCTCGCTGTCACTGAACCTTTGTATGGAAATTTGTGAAATGTGTAAAATTTAAACAGTTGCACGTATTCAGGCTGCACTATTGGAAATACAACATGCAAAATAACGGCAATTAATGCTCACTTTTGCTTCCTGACGATTCTAAAAAGAACACAAACCAAGGCAACGTCGATAGCCAAGAACAACAAACAAACAACAACAATGATAATTATTATTCCGCTGTCCAGTCCACCTTTATGTGATGTGTGCATTACGGAGGCTGATGTTGTCTTTGACACTGTTTCTTTAGTTGGTCCTGGAATTGGTAAGCTTGATGATGTTGATGTTGTCGTGGCTTTTGTTGCTGTTGTTGGTGGTGGTGCTGTTGTTGTTGTTGAGACTGCTCTTGCTGTTGGGGTTGCTGTTGTGGTTGGTGCTGCTGTCGTTGGTGCTGCAGTTGTGGTTGGTACTACTGTTGTTGTTGGTGCTGCTGTTGTGGTTGGTGCTGCTGTCGTTGGTGCTGCTGTTGGTGGTGCTGCTGTCGTTGGTGCTGCTGTTGTTGTTGGTACTGCTGTTGTTGGTGCTGCAGTTGTGGTTGGTGCTGCTGTCGTTGGTACTACTGTTGTTGTTGGTACTGCTGTTGTTGTTGTTGGTGTTGCTGTCGTTGGTGCTGAAGTTGTTGTTGGTACTGCTGTTGTTGTTGTTGGTACTGCTGTTGTTGTTGGTGCTGTTGTTGTTGTTAGTACTGCTGTTGTTGGTGGTGGTGGTGCTGTTGTCGTTAGTACTGTTGTTGTTGGTGCTACTGTTGTCGTTTGAACTGCCGCTGTTGTTGTTTTTGCTGCTGTTGATTCTATAGCTGATGAGGTAAAAAAAAAAAATGATTTAAAAGTTTTCACATTTCAATGTGTGCAATCCAAATTCAAATTCTCAGAGATATCCTTGCAATGACAATATTTTTCCGTTTTTTCAGAATAAGCGTTGTCAATTTAATCCAAAAGCGTGCGCATCACCGAGGCTAGCAAGATAAACTTAAATGGATCACCCATGGGATCGACAAGTCTCAACAAGGCTAATCTTATTTAGCCTCCTCCACAGGCAACTCTTTTTTCCTCCTTTGGGCTTCCTTTGTAACGGTCATTTTGGCCGGTAGGGACTAGTGACGAGATCCCTTTTCTCGCCCCCATTCTCCCTCTTTTGACTCCTCAAAAAGACAGGAAGCCCGTGATTCTTAGTGATGCCTGCGGAGGAGGCTAAATCTTATTATACTTATGACAGTGTTCATCGTAAACTATCTGTACTTAACAATATTTAATATATCTATAGTTATATGCAACGATTCAAATATAAATGATAATCATATTTATTTTCTATTTGAAATTAGTTTTGAATCCAGCAGTTTTCTCATGGCTTCTTATGGAATTAATTATCAGGGTGCAATTAATAAGGCGTATGCTAGATAGGTTGTTGCCAATCTATCTTGATGAATAATTGTATACGAAAATTTGAAAAGAGAAGAAATTACTCTCTATKATATATGGGTTCCCTGTTCCTTTAATGAGTGCGCATGTTGCTATAACGAAAGAGCAGTCAGAAAACCAATTTATTCAGGAAATGACAAAACAAATCATTGGTCAAATTCTATAAGCAATCCTTATAAAACAAAGTATACAACCGTCACATAATGTGTTCCTAACAACGGAATCATGTGCAGCAATTCTGTTTTTGTATACCYATGGAAATCATCTTCTTCTCGGAGGCGAAGAAAGTTTCGCCTGGATTGCGTCAATTGACATTTCCGAATGAACGAATGAAAAAGGGCTAGTGTCGAGACAAAATCTCGACACACACCAAGAAATAACCACCTAAAATTAGCTATATGGCCGATGAGTTTGAGAGTATTCAGACGAGTAATCGCACGGGCAAGCATTTCAAACTTGAAAAAATGGTTCACGTGAAAAAACGTAGATCCTTGTCTCAGAATCAATCCAAACCGGCGTCATGTTATAATGTTGAGATAAACTTGATGAAAACTCAGCCACATAGCCTGTGTTCAACGAAAATAACACTGTAGTATGGTCTCATGTGGCAAGACAATTGTTTTTCTTGGATGATTTTCATACTCGTTGCCAGGCCTCTTTTTGAATTTCTGAGACTTCCAATACTCATTAAACTGAGCCCACGGATGATACTACTTTGTACAAAACCTCCAAACAGGTTTATATTTAAGTTGAAATACACATAGTAGTTATCATATTTTAGTCGCGGGAAGTCATTATACTACTTAAAGATTAGAAATATTTTCAAATATATTTCAGTTTTGATGACAACAATAGTGTTACGTCATTCAAATAGAACTGTGCATAAACTCGACAAATCAGTGATTTAATACCCAATATTAATGGAAAATACGAATACTGACATTATGTCAGAAATGTCTTTACTCGTCTTTACTGTGAAATAATGACTTTTAATGTAAAACYGAGATAAACATTGTGGTATTGTAATCTTACCTTTGGTGGTTTGTTGATCAGTAAAACCAACTTTTAAAAGAATCAAAAAGAGTAGAATTGTTTTCCCACACATTGTGATGAATTGACACTGTGTTTGTAATTAGCCAAGATGACTTCGTTGATATGTATTTCACGCGATATCATAGATGGTGTAATTCTAAGTTAGACAATATCGAAAGACCGACGCTTACATGCGCTGAACAGAACGTATACTGATTAGATTTGATTGTTCCATGAGGCGGAAGTGTGTCTAGGCTGTAAATGTGAAATGTTCCGTATTAGTTGGGTTTATTAACTAAAGATCATGTAAACAGTCAAAGTTTAAACCGGAAGCTCGAACTCAGCGTCCCYGATAGGCATGAGCCTGTAGACAACTAAAGACATCCTAAATTGCTTTGTTAAATGAAAAACAGTTTTCACTATATTAGATAWAAAACTATACATAGAATCCAATAATCAGTCAATCAGGATTCAATGAATGAGTAAAAACTGAAAAACGGTTATTTCACATACTAAATTTAAGAAATCAAGCTTATTATCTCAGTCAACAAATGTTTATAAGTTGGTTTGGTCGAGCATATAGCTGATATAGGAACGCTGCCTTAGCCAGATGTAAGCTGAATCYGGGGGAGGGAAGAAAGTGCCCATAAAGGAAGGGGAGAGTCCTGTGATGCCACGGCATGCTACAATATCAACAGTTTCGTATGAATTGTACTGTATTGTGATGGTGATGTATTCATAAATCTGTATTTAATGTGCCTGACATAGTTTACACATACATCAATAAAGAAAAAAGATGCCATCTGAATGAGACTCGTTTAAAGAAGCGATCTCTTGTTAAGAAATTTCATTTTCCGCAACGCTATCCCAAATCTACAAATTGTAAAACTATCCAAATATCCGGTTTTCTTAATTCAGTCGTCCCCTTTTTGTCTGGACAAGCCACTGAAATTATTGTGATAACCACTTATATAGTGCACAGGGGGGGTCTTCACAGTCAATTACGGTTAGTCGCGTGATTAAAATTTCTCACACTTGATTAAAAAGCTTACAAAACAAAACTTTCTATAGTACAATAGTCAACTTTAGATATTTTGGTTCGATGGCTATGTACAAAAGAACGCTCACGAGGCTCCCGGAAAACAATGGATAATTTATTTCCACGGAGGCTCGACTCCAATTCTTTTGTGCATGTGGTCACTGAACCAAAATATCTAAAGTCGGCTATTTGCCCTGTAGATTGATAATTTGTAATTCATCTTTTATCTCTGACAATAATCGAGAGCCAGAAGGCTTAGATATCATATRTTTGATATAATTGTTTTTCTTAGAAATTTTGCTGTTGCTATGAGACTCCCCAAAACTTCGTGTATGGTTTCTAGCCTTAGCTCCCCTTTCAGGATCCCTTTGGCCGAGTGATACTGGGGCCTGCACAATTTTGGCGCTGATTTTCGACTTCTCGCTTTGCTTTTGTTCAAATATGAGTATCGAATTATCTCCCAAAACATGGGAAAAGTCCCCAGAATCATGGCAGAAACCGTCAAGTAGGATAAAGCTTAAGGTCAAAAAGAGAAAGGCATCTAAAAGCTCTTGTCCTTCAGATATTTTAGTGAAACCCTCGAGTGATCAACAATATGGCGGAGGTAGGGCGAAGCGAAGTAATCCATTTACCTGTGTCACTGAAGCTAAAAGAAGGCCTTCAWATACAACTACCAGCTCTGATAACAGGCTTTTTAAGGCTTTGGATAATCAAACGAATGATTACCAGTGTTTTRATGATATAAAGTGTGACGKTAAAGAAGAAATTGTTGAAAGAAAGTCAATGAACGTTGTTGAAGAGGAGTCCTCTAAAACAGATCACACTAGTACAACACAACAAGAATGCCCCTTCTTTCCACTCGATTGGAGCTTAAAGACTAAAGTCAGGTTCACATCATCTGTCTCATTCAACTGGGCTAGCTCACTAAAAAGTGCTGATATGGCTGATTCYGTCACAAACTTTGTCCGTTGTCAAAATGTCGACATATTTTCTGGCTCTTCTCTTCTAAATTGTGCAAGCAAAGTTTGGATTCACCCTTCACTTCCATGGCTACAACTATACCCAAGACAATCCACCATAAAGAAGTGCGACGAAGCTATTGCTAAATCTTTACAGAGTGATTGGGTGTCTAGTTTTCACTCGTTATTCAATCTCTTACGTTGTGGTCATTGTCCATATTTCTATCTATGTACTGGCCAGTGTTGTATGTTGTTTATAGCACCCAGTGGCGATAAAGAGATGGTTGCTGTAATAACACCCACCACGAAAGGTTTTCGAGACGCTTTAGAAAGAGAAGGTAAGAATTATGTGTTTTGTTTAATTATTGGCATTGTACAGTAGCTAGCTACATTGTGTACATGTTTATCAGTGATTGGTCAATTGAGTGATGAGGACCGCACGGCACTATGATAAACATGATTTAGTTATAAAGGAAAGGAAAAGTGCTTAATTTGAAGGAGGTTATTCTGGGTGAAAGACCCTTGGAAATAAATTCTGAAAAATTTATGTAGAAGTGAAGTAGGTTGGGTTTTTGCAGTCGTGATGTCTGTATTTTGTTTTATTTTGGTTGTGTACTTATTTGTGTTGTTGTTGTTGTAGTTGTTTATGTTAAACTATACTAAATTGTACTACTTCATTATCCAGGCATTGAATTCTCCCTTCCCCATAGCAAAGCAGCAGATTCTACTATATCTGACTCTGAGGACGAACATGATGAGAAAGAAAATGAATCAGATCATGAAGATTGGTTGGAAAGTGTTGGTCTAGACAAGGATCAATTCCCATCTATTGACAAATACACAAAACAACAACAAACTCAGATACGAAATAAAGACCAGCAGCCAACCTCTACTGTCATGGTAATGGGAGCCAGTACTCTGGCTTTGTCTAATTTTATATTGAACTGGAAAAGTGTCATGTCAGGAATACCWCCAACGCTTCTTGCACCTGTTGCATTTGAGGGGGCAACACTTAAATCACATAAGATCAGCCAAGGAATTGTGAAACACCAACATGATAAAAACATGAAGCAGGTAAGTTGTGACAATTGTGACTCTTCCTAACTAACTAACTTCTTGAGATCAATACCATTACTCATTACTCWATAGTTTGAATTTACTTAAAAGGTAAGGTACCATAACTGTGTCATGGTATGGAGTCATCTGAAACTAACTGAAAATCAGTCATTAAGAGAAAAAACCTCATGACTGAAGAAGCTTACACAGGACAATTCTGACTGGGTGT